GAACTAAGAGGCTCTGGGGGCACAGTGCCTAAGGCATCTGACTGCTAACCAGAAGTTTGGCAGTTCCAACCCACCAGCCACTCTGTGGAAGGAAGATGGGGCAATCTGCTTCCATAAAGATTTGCCACCTTGGAAACCCAATGGGGGTCACTATGAGTCAGAATTGACTCGATGGCAGTGAGTTTGGTTTTTTGTTTTTTAGATAACTAAGACAGTCTTCATCCCACCAAAGATGTTATAGGATATGGTGCCCCTAGCTGAGCACATGTCTCATACTCTCTGTTCCTTTGGTAGCTCAGAGTCAGGATCTCTTGACAGAAATTCTGGTCACAGAGGCCAAGGGAGGAGAATCTTTCAAGAATAAGAAATAACAAGTAAGGTTAGGATTCAGGAGGGGGCATTGGATTTAGTAATACGGAGATCTCCAGCATCCTCTATGGCTACAGAGGTGATGGTGCTAAAGCCAGACAAGAGCTGAGTGGCACTTCTAGCTACAGTAGCAGTTAGTGCTTACTATATGATATTCAGGAGTTCTGGTGGCATAGTGCCTAAGGCATTTGACTGCTAACCAGAAGTCTGGCGGTTCAAACCCACCAGCCACTCCTCGGAAGGAAGGTTGGGCAGTCTATTTCTGTAGAGATACTGCCTCGGAAACCCAAGGAGGGGTCGCTATGAGTCGGATCCAACTCGACAGTTGTGAGATGATGATGGTGTGCTATTCGGGAGTCCCTGCGTGATGCAAGAGTTAACACACTCAGCTGCTAACTAAAAGGTTAAAGGTTTGGGTTCATCTCAGAAGATAGGCCTGGCGATTTACTTCCCAAAAATCAGCCCTTAAAAACTTCATTGTGTACAGTTCTACTTGGATTTACATGGAGTTGCCCTGAGTTAGGGTTGAAACCCTATCAGGTAGGTGTTACCCTCATTTCTTATGGGGATATTAAGCACAGAGAGATTAAAGGTCCAAGGTCCCAAAGCTAGTTTGTGGTGGAGTGGGATTGAAGAATCTGGACTGTCTAGCTCTAGACTCCATGCTGTTAACTCCCACGCCATCAAAACAGCTCTCAGCTATGAGGAGGAGAGAGGGACACTGCTGGGCAGGACCAGTAGAGGGAGAGGCAGGAGCTGGAGGAGGATCGGAGGGTGGGGCAGGTGATTTACAGGTTGACTTGTTCCCTCTCCTGGACCTTAAATGTGTCCCCCAACAGCTGGGAATAAAGATAAAGTGACTTATGAGGGAGGGACTGGGAGGGGGCCTGGGGACTGCCCCCTTCCTTGGGGAGAGGTTGGGTCAAGTACCTTTATCCATGGTTCTGTGGGAAATTCACAGCCCAGTAGTCCAGGCTGCTGGTAAGAGGAAGACATGAGGGCCACAGATGGGGATAGGGCAGGGGATTGAAATACAGCCTGCTGGGTTGCCCTAGGGGAGAGCCAGCCCGAGGGCCTGAGTGCCCCCAGTCCTAGGGCCTGGTTTCCCAGGTATAAGAAAATCTTTAAGTGCTAAGCAACCCAGAATGATCTAGGGAAGGCACAGATAGAGCTTGGGGCGGGACTGGGTGGCCACTGCAGCTAAGGTCCCAGCTGGTGTCTCTCCCTCTCTAACCCAGGTCTGGGTCTTCCAGACCTCCAGGACACACACACAGAGCCCTGGTCTTTCCTCATATTAACACCTTGCCTGGGCCTGGAAGAAGAACATAACTGCAGTCAGGCCCGGAGGTTTTCAGACTTGCTCTACCTGGAAATCTTGCTAAAAAAAGGGGGGATGGAACCAGATTTGTTTTAGGTTAAAAGGGACCCCAGAAAAAAAGAGAGAGAGAGAAAGGACCTTACTGGTTTCAAGTGCTCCTGGGCTTTACTGAGGTGAGTCAGATCCAATCCTGGCCTCCGGAGCTGCTGGGCTGAAGGGATGACCTCCTTGTAAGAGGATCACAGAGCAGTGTGACAAAACTGTTACAAGAGAGGAAACCTAGAGGGCTTTGAGGAGTAATCTAGGAAAGATGCTCTGCTGGAACAGGACCTGGAAGTTTCGGTAAAGGCCAGAGGCTGGTGAGGGGGGTGGGAGCTGTAAGTGGACGAGGCCTGAGAGAGAAAGGGCACATGAGGAGATCTGCCTATGATTCGAGGGGTGTGGTGGAGAGAAGCCATGGTAATCTCAGAGGGCCTAGAGTATCCAGCTTCAAAGCTGGGGCACGGCACTGTTTGGCCTGGGGACAAGCTGGGGGTGATCAGAGAAAAGGTCTCTGCCGCCTCATCTCTGAAGGGCTGTTCTGACAGGAAGTGTCAAGCTGGTTCTGAAAGGTCTGTAGATGGAAACAGGAACAGGTTAGGTTTTTATATCACTGGATGCCTGCAGAAGGAGCCCTGGTGGTACAGTGGCTGAAGTGTGCTTGGAGGCTAACGGAAAGGTCAGTGTCAAACCTACCAGCTGCTCTGTGGGAGAAAGATGTGGCAGTCTGCTGCTGTAGAGATTGACAGCCTTGGAAACACTATGGGGCAGTTCTACTTTGTCCTATAGGGTTATTAGGAGTTGAAATTGACTTGACAACAACAACAAAAAAAGGGAGGAGAGCATGGAGGCAACATCTTCTGACTTCCTCTAACTTCGTGGGAGAGATAAAGAATCACCATTGGCAACCCAAGGCTTACTCCTATGAGGCCAGACATGCTGCTACCCTCCAACCTTCTTACCAATTCTGACACCAGTTGTTCTTCCCATGCACTCACTACTTCACTGCTGGGTTCCGTAATTCATTTCAATGGCCACACAGAATTCACAGACAATACTCACGGTCATGAGGTTTATAGGGAAGTAACAGGCTACAATTCAGGTTCAGAAATGCGCTCAGGTACAATTCTTTGATCAGGACAGTCTCCTATATGCTCTGCCCTCAGGCATGCTTCTTTCTCCCTTGGCCTCTAGGCCTGGCCTCTGTCCTGCTGGGGCAAGTGTTACAAAGCTCTTTTAGCTCTGCCAAGAGGTTTACCTAGTGCACCCCAGTTTCCACCAGCAAGCCTCCTGCCCAAAGGCACTCAGCTTTCCCTCTCCGTGGGCCAGCAACCCACTGCTTTGTCTCATGCTTCTTGGTTGTTTTGCTGTTGTCTCAGCTGGTCATCTCAGCCAGTGGTCTCTGCCAGTGCAGCTGTCTCTCTGTCAAGGAGGTCCAGCGCAGGGATCTCGGGTCCAAGGATGTGCTCTTCTCGATGGCAGTGAGATCCCCCCCTTCGGCCTCTAGGGGGGCTCACTTAAAGCATAGCAGAATGGCAAAACTGACCAATCCCCACATTAAGGTCCTATATACCTTATTTGCATGGTCCCACCTCCACAAGGGTGCCATGTACCTTATTTTACGTTACTCACAAGCTGTCCAGTCTCCTTGGTAGGCCACAAGCACCTTACATTTGCATAGCTCCACCATCTGGTGAAAGCCACAAAGACCATGGCTAGAAAAGCCATATCAAGTAATTCACTGCACCACACTGAGGTTCAGAGGGGACCAATGGGTAACTTACATAAGGCCACAGAGAGCTGGAAATCAAACCCAAGCTTGTCTGACTTCCAACTTGTATTCCTAACCACCGCACCACACTTCCTTACTTTAGGGAACACCTGCATGGTAGAACCATCCCACAGTGTCAGGAAACTGCTTTCCAAGAACGGACAGCAGTGGGACCACTACTCCTGGATTTTTGCAGAGGGACCTCAGCACTGAGTGTGTGTGTGTGTTGGGAGCTGTAACTGAGTTACCTGTTTCTCCCACTTTGAGGTTTTTACTTCTAATTCTTTCAGTGCCTTTGGTATTATTTCCTTTGTTTGACAAATGAAGAAATTGAGGCCCAGGCTGAAAGTGGTCACCCAAGGTCCTGGGCAACCCTAGGAGCCAGGATGTCCTACCTCCCTAGGCCTGAGTCCCCAGATCTGTGGCCTCATCAGCCCTGTTGCAAGGGGTGGGAAAGGTCATGGTCGGGACTCCCAGAGCCTGGATGAGAAGCCTGGCAGTGTAGCCAGGACCCTGATTCTGGAGCTCCAGCCCTTATCTTGGCCCAGTTTGGCTGCTTTTAGCTTCTGAAGTCCATTGGCTCTAGCTTTAAATCCAGCCTCCAATGTATCTTACCTGTGTGATCGTGGGCAAGTCATTTATCATTTGGAGCCTCATCTGTGAAATGGGGTAATTCCGACCTCCTGGGGTTGTAATACGGATTCCATGAGAGAGTGATATAGTAGTACCCTTGGCACAGAGCCTGTCACTTAGTCAGTGCTCAGTGACTACCAGTTGTTATTATTATAACAGTATATCATGCATCTGTCAACTCGCCTGGAGCGTGGGACAATAATTCCTATCATCCTGGCCTCAAGGACATACTGTGGTCCATGTGAGCTATGGGGTCAGTGCAGATGGTAGTTCTGCCACTCAAAGGCCAGCCCAGCCCTGCAGGGGTAGGGAGATACACCCAGTTCCCAGGATTGGGGAAGCTGAGTGATAGCCTCAATCCATCAATCATAGTCCAGCCTAACTTTATGGACTCTGGACATACTTAAGTTTATAGGGGTGAAGGCTAGCCCAGTTCTCCTACTTCAGCACAGGCTGCTGCCCAGAGCAGGTAGGCAGGTTTGAGTTGAAGGCGGGTGGGTGGGAGGGAGAATATTCTGGGCCTTGGGAGACCAGCTAATCAGCTTTGGGAGCAAGGCCCCAAGGGATAGGTGGGTCTGGGCTGGAGTTGGATCTCTGTCCTTAGGGGTTCAGTCTTGTTACTCCTAACCTTGCTGGTAAAAGAGGGGCCTGGGAAACCTCATGTACAAGAAGGGCATAGACCTCAGCTCTCCCTTGCCCACCCTCATCCCGGCTTGACCCATGTACCACTACGTGGGGGGAGAGGCAGGGAGAGGTTGGGATGAAGGCTGGGATTTGTTGACCAAAGTTGAAGGGAGATTGCCTGGGGAGCCAAGTGTGGGGATGGGAAGGCAAGCTAAGGAGAAGGCTTCCCGGAGAAGGGGACAGCCATGGGGCAGCTCTTGTGACCTCCTTCCCCAGGCCCTCAGCACCATGACGGTTTCATACACCCTCAAAGTGGCAGAGGCTCGCTTTGGCGGCTTCTCTGGCCTGCTTCTCCGCTGGAGGGGAAGCATCTACAAGCTCCTCTACAAGGAATTCCTACTCTTTGTCGTCTTGTATGCTCTGCTCAGCATTACCTACCGGTGAGGTCGTGATCTCAGGACTGGCCTGTGGGGGTGAGGCTGCCCATCTTCCTCTAACCTAGACCCCTGCCTGACTCACCAGGCTGCTGCTGACGCAGGAGCAGAGGCATGTGTACGCTCAGGTGGCCCGGTACTGCAACCGCTCTGCGGACCTCATCCCTTTGTCCTTCGTACTGGGTGAGGCCTCCCTCTCCACTCTGTCCCATATTCTCCTTAACCTTTAGGTCAGGTTGGCAGCTCTGCGGGTCAGAATTACCCCAGGAGCACACCCTGGAACTCAACCAGAGCAGGCCCAGGAGCTGAGTACTAGGCCCACGATCTGCAGATGCCTGGACCCTCTCTCCACAGAAGGCACAGGGACCTGCTGGCCTCACAACGCACCCTGGGCACCAGAGCGGAGCTGAGAGGTGACACCTCCCTCCTCTTGTGGGAAGCAGATATCAGAGTTAACCAGTACTCTGCCACCACTTCCCCTTTTGCCTGAGAAAGTGGGCACTTTTCCCCCCTTCTGACCCAGCTCAGCAGGCATGACCAGGGGAAGAGGCTGTATGCCGACAGCCAATGAGGCAGGGCATTGGAGTCATTGTGTCCTTCCTCCTGCCTTTGTTCTACCTGGCTTGGACCAGGTTCTCTGACTGAGTGCAAGGCATGCTGACTCCCAGGCCCTCCATCCACTTCCTGTTTTCCACTATCCGTGGTGGCCAACCAGGTTTCTATGTGACACTGGTGGTGAACCGTTGGTGGTCCCAGTACACAAGCATCCCGCTGCCGGACCAGTTGATGTGTGTCATCTCAGCCAGCGTGCATGGCGTGGACCAGCGAGGCCGCCTGCTTCGTCGCACTCTCATCCGCTATGCCAACCTGGCATCCGTGCTGGTGCTACGCTCAGTCAGCACTCGCGTGCTCAAGCGCTTCCCCACCATGGAGCACGTGGTGGATGCAGGTGCACAGCCAGGAGCCCGTGGGGGCTGGGCCTGTGGCTGGATGTATGTGCCTGGTAGGAAAGTCTCAGGGCAAGTGGAGGCCAAGACCAAACCCAGGACTCGTCCTGTGGGCCTCCTGGGGAGGGGAAGGCTGACCTCCTGGGAGCACTCCAGCGCAGCGAGTCCTGGGGTGGCTGGTGAATGTGAAGGAGCCCTGCAGTATGGCAAAGCAGCATCTTCCCTGGTGGCAGACAATGGGTCTTTGTCCCACCCACTTTACCCCCATAGGTTTCATGTCCCAGGAAGAGAGAAAAAAGTTTGAGAGCCTGAAATCTGACTTCAACAAGTACTGGGTCCCTTGTGTCTGGTTCACCAATCTGGCGGCCCAGGCCCGGAGGGATGGGCGGATCCGTGATGACATCGCTCTCTGCCTGCTCCTGGAAGTGAGTCAGCCTAGAACCATCTGCCCCCCTCCCTCTAGCTTAGCCAACTGGAATAAGGATTTTAGTAGTTAACACTTAAGACTTAGGGCAACTATGTACCAAGTGCTATGGAAGCATTGTACCGGTATTCATTCATTAAACCTTCACAATAGCTCATGAGATAATACTGTTATTATCATACCCTTTTCACAGATGAGGAGACTGAGGCACGGGGTAGAGAAGAAACTTGCCCAAGTCACACAGCCAGTTAGTGGGGCTCGGAGATTTATATCCTAATATTCTGGCTCTTAAATGTTCATTAAATTAGACTTCAGCCTGATAACATCTCAGAGCAGACTGAGCCTCCAGACCTGGCCCACGCCTAGTTTATGCTGAGCTCCCCTCTGCCCTCCTCAGTCTTCCTTGCTTACCTCTGCTGACCTCTTCCTGTTTTTTTTTGTTCACCAGGAGCTGAACAAATACCGTGCCAAGTGCAGCATGCTGTTCCACTATGACTGGATCAGTATTCCCCTCGTCTACACCCAAGTAACTGCCTCTGTTGCCCCAGTGCCAACTATACCCTGTACATTGTGCTGTATATGAGATACTGACACAAATGAGACACGATTCCCGCCCTGGGGTATTTCAGTCTAGTGAGACACCGAACAGCCCAAGTGCTAATCCTCAAAACCTCCCCCCACCCCCACCAAGATGACCCTACCCTCTCTGGTGCTGTTGCATCCTGCAACATATTTTAATTACTTGTCAGACTTCCCCACAGGTCCCTAGAGGTGGGGACAGCATTTCCCCCGTTCTTCTGTACCAGGCCCTGAGCCTGGCTTCTCCCTCTCCAGGTGGTGACCATAGCAGTATACTCCTTCTTTGCCCTCTCCCTGGTTGGCCGCCAGTTTGTGGAGCCGCAGGCAGGGGCTGTGGCCTCTCAGGAGCCTCTGGACCCACCCTTAGGAGACCTGGACATGTACGTGCCTCTCACCACCCTCCTGCAGTTCTTCTTCTATGCTGGCTGGCTCAAGGTGGGTACTTATGTCTCAAGATATCACATAGAGAACAGGGTATATGGTAGGCACCAGGGCTGAGGTGGAGAGAGGCAGTTACTCCGATGCAAGAGGGGAATGCTGATCCAGTCATAGTGCAACAGCATGCTGCACTTGGCACGGTACTTGTTCACTGCCAGCCTGCATTTGGGCCCAGGGCCCACCTCACTTTTGGGGACAGAGAGTGGGGCTCTGAGTCAGAAAATACTGTCTCTGCAACTTGCAGGTGGCTGAACAGATCATCAACCCTTTTGGTGAAGATGATGATGACTTTGAGACCAACCAGCTCATAGACCGCAACCTGCAGGTGTGCAGGGGTTGGGGGGCAGGTCTCTGTACTCCCCTTTGCCGGCTGGTTCTCAGCACAGGTGTGAAGAGAAGGCTAGGGGTCCTGGTGACCTGCTGCCCACCCCTCTGCTGGACCAGGTATCCCTGCTATCTGTCGATGACATGTACCAGAACCTGCCTCCCGCCGAGAAGGATCCGTATTGGGACGAGGACTTGGCACAGCCGCCCTACACTGTGGCCACGGCGGCTGAGACGCTACGGCCTTCCTTCTTGGGCTCCACCTTCAACTTGAGGTGAGTGGCCCATGCTGGCCCGGGCCGGACCTCACCTGGCCAGCGGCCCCAAGTCCCCGCCCACTCTCTGGGGAGCCAATGAATCGTCCCCTCTAGTCTCCAGCTTCTCGCTGAGGCCGCCCTTCCGCCCACAGAATGAGCGACGACCCAGAACAGAGTTTGCAGGTGGAGGCGTCCCCCGGGATGGGCCAGCGACCAGGCACTCAGACCCCGCTGCTCGGCCGCTTTCTGGGTGCTGCAGCGCCCTCCCCCGCTATCAGCCTCCGGAACTTCAGCCGTACACGAGGACCCCCCCGAACCCCTCATCTACCGCGGTTCCGGGACGAGGAGGGTGGCGACCCCGAGACCGCCAACCGCATCGAGGAAGAGGCAGCGGAGTCAGCGGACGAGGCCCTGGAACCCTGAGCAGAGGGAGCCGGGGCTAGTCGGTCCTGTCTGCTCCCCCAGGCCTGTTCCGGTCAGCTTCCCTCCACTCACTGCCCATCTTCCGGCCCATCCCAGGCCTGCCTTCTAGCGCTACGTTGATTAGAGCAGCGTTTCCTTGAGTTCTTAGCGAACCATGAAGAGGAAGGTGGCTAGGAGGACCCGAGTCAGGGCTGGGAATGTGGCCACTTTGGTGGGAGAAGGTAGGATGGGCTGCTTAGGGGAGGTGAAGCTAGGATAAATGAGTCCAGGCACAGCGGAGCAGCGCCCAGGTACAGTAATTTCCTGGGCACTGGGGAGGTAGTGGAGTCTTAAGCCAAAGGTTATTAAAATGACAAGAGCATCAGCATCATCAGTAGGTCTTGCTAAAAAACAGACAACCCAGTGTTTCTTCTGACTTACTAGATCCGAGGTGGAGCTAGAGTTGGCATTTCTAACATTGCCAGGTGATGCCGATGATACTGATCTGGGCACAATTTGAGAATCATACATTAAAATGCTTAGATATACCTTACCCTGGTAACAACAGTTACTTCTGAAGAGGGAACTCATGGTCAAAAGGGTGTGTGTTGGTAAAACTTTTATCTGTAATGTTTAATTTTTTTCCTACAACGATAATGTATCCATTTATTGCTTGTACAATTTTGTTTAAAATTGAATTGGCATGCAGACAGTAGATGAAGCAGCAAGGGCTTGGGAATCTACTCTGGAGGTTTAGACTCAGATGTGAAGATGCTGAAGGTCTAGGCACCCACCCTAGACCATCAGCATCTGGACCTGAATGCCAAGCCCTTCTCTCCCATCAACCAAATAAGGAACAGCAGGTGAAGGGGTGGGCCCTGCAGTGCTGGGAGTACTCCCTCAAGGGTAAGGGATGGGCTGGTGGAGAAGACCCCACAGAACACTAAATTGGTTACTGGGTTCCTTTAAGATTCCTGCCTTCCAAGCTCAGCTTCCACCTGAAGTCGTTGAATACCAAAACTGCACGTTAAGGCCAAAGGATAGTAAATGCAAAGAAAAAGAGGGGGAAGCCCTGGAGTGGAGGTTGAGTGTAGCTTCTGGCATAATCAACTAATTTGCTTCTAATCCTGGCTTTGTCACTTTCTAGCTGGGTGACTATGGATGGGACATTGATCATTTCTAAATCTATGTAATGTGGAGCCAGCATCCCATAAAGAGATCCATTCATTCAGAAAGTATTTGAGGTTTTTTTGGGGGTTTACAGGGAAAGCTTTGCTCCAGGGAGAGAATGGTCAACTACAAAGCCCTGGAAGATCATAGTAAAATCATAAGCTTAACAAAACCACTTATGGTTATTAACCAGATAAATGACAAGATCTGGTTTGTATAAAGACTCACTAGGAGAGTGGGCTAGAGCCCAGGAGTATGATCAAACAGGTCAATGTCAGACATGTCTAAGGAACAAGAGGTTAACTTAACCAAAGGCGGTAGCAGGAGAGTGGATGGATTGAATACTCTATTTAAAGAGATAGAAGCCACTGGTCTCATTGATGGATTACAGGTAGAAAAGAAATAGAGCTCAAATTAGACAAGGGCAAAATACTGTTGCTTTGTGCTGACATGTTCCGTGCCATAGTGGATTTTGACTCAGTGACCCTAGAGTAGAACTGCCCCACACGTTTTCCTAGGCTGTCATCTTCATGGGAGCAGATCACCAAGTTTTTTTTCCTGTGGAACTACTGATGGATTCAAACATACAGCTCTCATGATTAATGAGAATGTATAATATGAAGGTGAACAAAGATCAGCACTGGCTGGGAGGGTGGGGTCAGGCTTCTCCAGAGCCAATGGTAGTAAGTAAAGTTTTAGAGGGTTGGGAAATTTTACACTCCGAAAAAGGCTCATCTCCTCGTTCACCTATCCTTCCTTCTGAAGTCTACAACTTAGGATGGTCAACCAAATAGATTTCTGTATTTCTTTGGCTCCCAAGACATGTATTTCCGTTTTCCGCCAACTTTACATTTCATGGCACCTGAAGCTTTTTATGGTTCACTAACTTAGCACATATTTGTATGCCTAGTAAACAGGAGGCACTTTTGAGGCGCAGCAGGTAAGATACTTGCTTCTCTGGAGTTGCTCTAATAGGTAAGAGGGCAAAATTAACAAGCAAAATTTACATCAGATCAGGAGAAAATACAGGCGAAGCATACTGTTGGGAAAGAGAACAAAAAAAGTGACCAGACGGTAGACAGTAGTGATGACAGTGGGGGTCAGGATGAATTTTGAAAGTTGAGCCAACAAGATTTGGTGACAGAATGTGAAATGCAAAAGGGACCTAGAGCTCACCCAAGATTTTAAGCAACTGAAGTATTATTTGCTGTAATTGGAGGAAAACAGGGACATTTGATGAAGGAGGGAGGAATCCAGTAAAATCAATTGTTTTTGAGTCCTGTTGTAACAGCCAAGTAGATGCACAAACATTTAATGCTATTGATAGGGTAAACTGAGGACAAGAAACTTAGATTTCATAATGTGTAACTCACTGGTAATTAATCTTGAGTATTTTTAATATAGGTGGTAAAGAAGTAATTAAGAGTTCAAAGGGGATTGTGAAAGGATATGTAAATCTCCAATTAACTAAAAGACTTTCACAAACTGAAGGATCCTGGTTTACATGTAAAATCTGCTCACAACTACAGATAACAAATCAAAATACACTTCCCAGGTTTCAGACCATCAACACCCCATCTGTGAACCCAGGCTTAACCAAACCCTTAGAACCAGCTTCATGGAAGCCAAGTATGGCTGGCCTGAGCCTCCAATCATTGTTCAATATTAAGAGGGGGCCCCAGTGCTGGGATACCTCCCTCACACAGCCTCTCTGCTGGCAATTCCTATATTCTCACTGAAACAGGCCTTTAGGGTGAGACATGGTCTAGCAACACAGAAAGGAACAGCCTTCACAGAGAGGGCCTAGGGGCAAACAAAGCATTCTCTGGTGAAGGTGGGTCAGAATAGGAGGAGGTAGGGGTGGGAGTCTAGTTCCAACCAAACAGAGAAAATAAGTCAAACATTCAGATGAAATGAACACAAGACATAGAATAAACACCTTTAATACATGTGCTAAGAGGGGAGGGAGGATTTATTTGCCTTTCCGGGCCTTGATTTTCCTCAGATAGAACTCCAGCTCCTTGCCTTCTAGCACATAGCCATCTGCTCGGCCACACTGGCCTGGTCTTGAAGCGATACACGCTGCAAGAGAGGACATGGTCCTTAGCAAAAAGACAAAGTGGCCTCACCTGAACCTATCTATCCCTTTAAAAAGTCCATGTCGGCTCTGATACCTTAAGAGCAAGCATGAAGCCCACTGTCTCCTCAGACAATACTTCTTCATCAAGTCATGTCAGTAGCAGAACTGGACAAAGTTTTCATCATTGAGACAGCCCCCTTAGCCAGGGCATGGACTTTCCCAAATTATAAAACCCACAGGCAGAGAACAAACTCCAAGTGCAAGTATATTGACTCCTGCTCAACTTTTTCCATGTCAGCTTCTCACTACTAACAGGGTAGCCAAACATTCCAAATTGTGCTTGTAGTACCCTGCTACCACTAATAGTTGTTGTCATGTGCCATCGAGTCAAACCGGACTCACAGCGACTCCTCCTTGGGTTTCCGAGGCAGTATCACTAAGGAAGTAGATCGTCCCATCTTCCCTTCCGAGGAGTGGCTTGGTGTGTTTGAACCGCCAGCCTTCTGGTTAGCAGTCAAGTGCCTTAGGCACTATGCTACCAGAGCTCCCACCACTAATAGAGGCCCTTTCAAATTCATAAGTGTCCCAGGACAGTGAATAGTATGGTCACCTTACCCATTCAACTCTTCTGGTGAACCCCAGACCACATGGCTGGCAGTCACACCACAACTTTGTGATACCCCTCCCCCTGGAAGCAACAGATCTCACCAAGAAGCTTGCCCTGCTGGAACTGCTCCTCCAGAAGACTGCTGATTTTTGCATTCTTTTTCCTTTCGTCGTATTTTTTCTGAATTTTCTTTGATCGTTTTTTGTTTAAAATCTCTTCCTCCTCAGGAGTCTGAATAAAAGGGATACAGATGGATGGTTAGCTGGGGCCTCAAACTCTAGATCAAAAAAAGGAACATCACCATAGCCTTCTTGAACCCTGAGGCTCCCCAACCCCAGCCTTCCTCAGCACTAAAGAAAGACTTTCATCTCTCTTCCTTCAGTAGCAGAACTGGACAGATTTCATCACAAGAAGGCTGGAGTCAGGCTGCCTTCCCCATAGCCCCTAAAGGGGAACTGGCTTCCCAAACACGCACCAGTTTGGCCCCCTTCTTGCGTCCTAGGGGCAGTGCATAGTGGGACTCGTACCACTGACGGTACGGGGTGCTGTCAATTAGCACGATGCAGTTCTTCACCAGGGTCTTGGTACGGACCAGCTCATTGTTGGATGCATTGTAGACAACATCGATGATCCTTGTTTTGCGAGTACAACCTGCTCACAGGAGGAATTCAGAATCAAACCATGTAAACCAGATGCCAAATGACCTCACCCCCAACTCCAGGCTCTTTTGCCCTAAGGCCTAAGGAGGTCCTCTATCAAGGAAAAGCAGCAAGCGAATGCTAAGCCTTTACCCAGCCAGGGGTAATCAGCTTCTCTCTCACACTCACACCTCTCACTATGGGCTGGCAACCATCCTTAGTCTCTAGATTTAGCTCCAATCATGGAGGATGCAAGCATTAAGAGTTTAGAGATCAGGGTGGGGAGACCTCTCCAGCCACAACACCCTTCAGCAAAACATATCTTCCTCAAGTGTTTTGGTCTGGGCCAGAGGCTTCTTCTAAAAGCACCTACTCAGGCTTAGATGCCACTTCTTACCCACTCCCAAAGCCTTACTTACACTCAGAGCCCCAGGAGAAGTTCCCCACATCCAGCCTTAGGGCCCGATACTTCTTGTTGCCTCCTCTGACACGAACTGTGTGTATGCGGCGGGGGCCAATCTGGGAAA